GTTTTCTTGACGATATAGATAAATCTGCTTCAACCTTTATTTGTTAATTTGATTTCCCACGCAAAGTGTTAGACCATCTTCAGTGTCTTAAAAGTGTTTATTAGACTTCATTTGAGTCACTGCGTTGGAAAAGTTTGTATTGCTGATTCAGCACCATGGACAGTGCACCTCGTGGTGTGACTGAAATGCCTCAAAGAGATGGGAAAATGAACACATTTTGCATTCATTATTTTGCCCAGAGTGTTCTCCCTATCTTTCTCTCTTTACCCCCCTCTTTATCTGTGTGTGTGTGTGTGTGTGTGTGTGTGTGTGCGCGTTCGCGTGTGCATGTGTTTTTTCTCTCTCCGTTTCTTTCGGTGTGTCTGCATGTGTTTTGCAGGCACCTCTTTTTTTTGCAGGGTTATTTTTCTTTAAATTTTATGTCCACATCTGTCATAAGTTTTGGCTGACAAGTAACACAGTCTCATTGACATGAATTGATTCATTGTATATTCCTTTTACACATTTGCAACACATATAGTAGAATAATTGCGTTGTGTGGATTTAAGTGATATTTTAATACCAGGTGAAGTGGAAATATACCACGGATGGGATAGTTTATGAGATTAATTGAACATTTTGTGTGCTTTGTGACTGTTAGTCTATTTAGTTACGTGTGTAAATGTAACTGTGTGTGTTTGTGTGTGTGTGTGTGTGTGTGTGTGTGTGTGTATGTGTGTGTGCAAGTGTGTTCTTTGGTGCACATTTTTGTTTAGCCATACTGTTGCTTCTTATTCTCATTGATGTGATCAGTTGCTCAATTCTTTTATTAGTTAACAATGATGCAGAAAATTTTAATTTATTGTTTATGTAATATTTCAACTCAAAACTATATATTTCTTTAAATCTTTTATTTACACCCAAACATATATTTTTGATTGCCACAGTGAGATTCAGTGCAGTTCAGTCCATTGAACAGAAAGGGACGCTGTTAGCCATAGAGTTGCTGAGGAAGCTTTTGATACAGAACCTCCCCTGTACGTCAGCATATTACATCGGTACATATAGAGTGGTGGTGTGAAGAGTCGGTATTTCCATGAACAGCAGAGGACAGGAGTGCACAATGGAATTCCTTTGTTCCACTATTTAGGATAAGTGGCATCTTTAGAGCCTTATACTTGGATCCACTGGTCAAAATCGGAAATTGTGTCGACGAAACAGTGGATATTCTGATTTTCTTCAGAGACGTGTCGACCGGAACGATGGGGTGGCAAGTGTTCATGTATATCTCCATGCTCTCTGTCGGTGTAGCGCGCGGGCAGGTCAGCTATTCCATTCCCGAGGAAATGGAAAAAGGGGCTGTAATAGGTAATATTGCCCAGGATTTAGGTTTAGGAGTAGACAGACTGAAGTCCGGTAAGGCTCGTATTTATACTGGTAACACTGAGGAGTATGTTGAGCTGAGGCGAGACAGAGGAGTGCTTCTTATAAAAGACAGAATAGACAGAGAGTCGCTCTGTGGTCAAACAATGCCCTGCGCACTCCATTTTCAAATGATCCTGGAAAACCCGATGGAGTTTTACACCGTGACCGTTGAAATTACCGATATAAATGACAACCCTCCCACGTTTGAGAGAAGTGAGATGAAATATGAAATTAGTGAATCAGCTCTCACTGGTGCTCGATTCGTCTTAGAAAAAGCCGTAGACAATGACGTTGGTGTGAACGGTTTGAGCAGCTACACCCTGAAACCTAGTGATAATTTCGTTCTCAAAACCATCAGTCGAGGCGACGGGACTAAACATGTCGAAATGGTTTTACAGAAACCGCTAGACCGAGAAAAACACGAACATTTATCATTAATACTAACCGCTCTGGATGGCGGAGAACCGCAGCTCTCAGGGACAATGCAGATTATGATAACTGTTCTAGACGCAAATGACAATCCGCCTGTTTGTTCTAGAACGGAGTACAAAGCAAGTGTTACAGAGAACGCTCCTGTTGGCACAGTAGTAACCACCGTCAGAGCTACGGACGTGGATAAGGGAAATAACGGAAAAGTAACATATATGATCCCAAAATCAGCAGCGGCGAGTCTCTTTCAAATTGATCCTAATGATGGTGTATTGACACTCACGGGGAATGTAGATTACGAAAAAAGGAGACTTTATGAGCTGGATGTTCAAGTGTCAGATCAGGGAGGACTGTCGGACGCATGTAAAGTGATTGTGGACGTGACAGATACAAATGATAACCCTCCGTCTATTAACATCATGTCTAAATCAAACACGCTGTCTGAGAACATGAAACCAGGAACTGTTGTAACGATGCTGAACATACAAGATCCAGACTCGAATGAAAACGGCAAAGTCATGTGTGTTTTAAGCGAAAATACACCTTTTACAATTAAATCAACAACAAATAATTTCTTTTCCGTTTTAACAGAGGATGAATTAGACAGAGAGAGAGCCTCTGAGTATAACATCAGTGTGACCTGCTCTGATGAGGGAGTGCCCTCCCTCTCCAGCAGCGTCACTCTCACCTTACA